TCATTCAAAAATCGAAACAACAGAAGTGAAATGTCTACGACGAATTCTAAACGTAAATACAAGAGGCAGGATAGAAAATGACAATATCAGGAAAGAATCTGGAATGGGCTCATAATAAACAACATCAAGAGCTAACAGATCAAATTTGACTTCAGGTCAAAATGGATACGGGACTGTGATAAACATTATGTGTGTTTTTCGTTGGCGCAGGAGCGGAGCAAAGATATCGTGATCCGTTTGCTATGAAGCTGAAACTAAGACTACCAGACTACCAGACAGATCAAATGGTTCGGACATGTGTCAAGGCTACCAGCAGACGGTGCTTCACAGACAGCTGTCAGTTAATTAAAAACAACTGAAGCAGAACCAGAGGTAGACCACGCAAGCGATGGACAGATGGTATATCAGATGTTGTAAATAGCAGTATTTGCGAAGCACAAACCAAGGCTCTCATCCGATACCATTTCTAAACCTGATGGCGAAAGACACAAGAAAACTAGAGAAGAAGAACTCATTGCTGATTGTATCTGTGTGCTTGTGTTTAGGAGACTGACAGAACTGACTGACTAAAGTTCACTCAGAGTGACAGACTTGTTGCATTAAGGATTCAAGTCACGTGATGCTACTATCATACTTTACAGACCAATATCAAATTACAACAATAATGCCTTGGTCTTGTACCCTGTCAATATTGTTAGGGATGTCAAGAGTGTTAAGAACGTTGCATCACGGTGCAGACAAACACGGTGATATCATAATGACAGTTTAAATATGACCGCTGCACTTTTAACATGCACCAAAGAGGAGCAGCGTTCTGTTATCCGGTTGTTGTTGTTTTTTTATTATCAGTGGAAGAGTCAAACCTGTAGAAATTTACCGTAAACAATAATATTTATAGATTACGAGACGATCGCATGGTTATTGTAATATCTTTTACACTTTTAAGGTTTTCTTTTTACAGCTCCTTCGTACACATTTAAAATAAAATCTATAAAAAGTATAAAATTATCATTAGAAAATGAAGCAACCATATGAATCGGCTAGCCTAACAAGACAACAACAAGGAGCTGTCAAATCTCCGAGCCGTACAGGCGGGCTCAATTCTTCCCGGACTATCGCTGGAGCGTACGGCGGGACGACGGGCAGTGAAGGAACGAATGCATACACAACACACAACGGATATCACTGCGTCACAGACGATGCTTCTCTACAAGATAGCTGGACAGATGTTTATGCTTACTTTAGCACTAGATAAATGTGTTGTCGCCGGGACATTCCAATCATTCATCAAGTTTTCACATCAACAACTTTCAGGGGTTTGTGCCAGCATCGCTTCCATTTCTGTTTTATTTCATTGCAAAACAACGTTATATTTGACAAGTTGACGTTAACTGATTCTATTTCTTCTTCTTCTTCTTCTTCTTCTTCTTCTTCTTCTTCTTCTTCTTCTTCTTCTTCTTCTTCTTCTTCTTCTTCTTCTGCTTTATTTCATTGGAAAACAACGTTATATTTGACAAGACGCAAGTGATTCTATTATTTCTTTTTTTTTCTTCTTCTTCTTCTTCTCTTCTTCTTCTTCTTCTTCTTCTTCTTCTTCTTCTTCTGCTTCTTTATCTGATTCTCCTCCTTCTTTTCCTGCTCCTTTCTCTTCGTCATTTTCTTTTCAGCCCAGTCGAAAGACAGATAGACGAAGATGTGACTAACTGATCCCTGACTGAATAGCGACTGATCTACAGATAGCTGGATTTATAGGGACAGATGCACGCCGAGAGATCTCGGTGTTGGCCAGTTGGCCTTGCAAAGGAAACCAAGTTTTACAGATCAGTGGAGGACATGGTCGCACCCCAGACTTCACAGAGGCATGTGGCCTTCTCATTTCAAAACTACTAGCCAGTGTTGCCACTTTGGATTTTACATCCAGATTTAGATGTTTTCCTTTGCATTTAGATGGCGTTTTTGACGTTAAAATGGTAAGATGTTTTTCTAATTGTTTTTCATTTGGAGTGAATTTATCAAATCTAACCTAAGAAACAGGATAAAATTGGACCTTTTAAATGCTATTTTGACAATACAATTCGGCCTGATAGAGTAGGAAAAGGCTGTTCCACTTATCAGCTCCCTGATTGGGTATTAAAAGAAATTGGAACAGCTAAAGCATACCAGAGTCATTTTGGATCTGAAGCTTTAACTTCATCATTCAAGCTAAGTTTATACTGTGGTTCTTGTAAGGCAGACTTCAGTATAGATGAGGACACGATTCTATAGCGTAAGTCATATCAATTGCTATGTAATTTGTGACTCTTTCCATTTGGATGTTTTTTCTAAATGTTTTCCCGCGTAAATTTATATGTTTTTAGATATTTTTTGACTCCGTTTCGGATGTTTTTTGTCAAAGAAAAGTGGCAACACTGCTACTAGCAGAGAGAACAAAAAGAGAAGCAGGACAGGTCACAGAAAAGAACAGTCAGGTAGTCAGTATTTTTTTTAACACCAGCCGCGGGAAAAGGGGTGGGGTATATTATGTGTGGGTTTAGCAAGAACTGAAAATGGGATCACTGATGGAATGATTGCCTGCCTGCCTGACTGACTGACTGAAGGATGGATTTAATGACTGATTAATTATTGGTTGATTAACTGTTTGAATGCTGGTCTGATTGACTGCCTGACTGACTGACTGAAGGATGGATTTAATGACTGATTAATTGGTTGATTAACTGTTTGAATGCTGGTCTGATTGACTGCCTGACTGACTGACTGAAGGATGGATTTAACGACTGATTAATTATTGGTTGATTAACTGTTTGAATGCTGGTCTGATTGGCTAAATCAGGCGTTGTTGTACTGACTGATTGGAATACATACTGATTTCCTTACTTGATTTCCTGGCTTGATTGATAAACTGATAAATGGATGGTTGGATGGACTGCTGTGTGGACTGACTGACTGACTGATTGATGTGTGAATAAAATGACTGATGGGATGATGGACTGATTGATAGATCCATGGACTTGATTGATACGTGGAATAACTGATGGACTGGTTAGTGGATTCGCTGACTTGATTGGTGGATTGATTAACCGAGGGATTGATAGATTAAGTGAATGGCGACAAAGATATATTAACACAAGAACGACTTTAAAAAGAAAAGAAAAAATAACCGAATGCCCCTAGCCATCAAATTCGTGCGACCCTTCTAACCCAAGCAAACTCCAGGAAGTGCACGGGGATAAAAGGGGGTGTGGGGTGAAATGATCCCTCGGTACGCCCATGAACGCTGCCAGCCCTCTAATGTTGCTCGCCACCGGAGCACCATAAATGCCAATCTTTCTTTAAATGCTGTAAACAAAGCCGCGGTTTTCGCTCGGGTGGAGATAAGTCTGAGATAGAACATTCCGAGGAGCAGCCGAGGGCGTACCGAGGACCTACACGAGAGCGTTCTTGCAGTCAGGGAGAGGAAGTATGAAAGTGAGGCCCTGGAATTAATGAGGAGAGCTGCAGATAAGAGCAGGGGCCAGGTCTAGTGAGGCACTCACTCACTCAGCGATGAGATAAGACGAGGTAAGGTTAGTGCTTGCGTGTCGTCAATCTCGTAAATAACTGGGGTGAAATGCTACAATTGGGCGAGTGGCAGAAGAAATGTGGGATGCTGTTGTTGATGTTCTGGGAACTTAGTGTGTTTGGGGTTGTTCACTTTTATACGACATAGTGAATATGTCGACTGGTGATGTCTTGTTTCCATTTTGTCGGAGAGTTTCTCATTGACCACGTGGTCAAGCCTTCTCCCTGGAGGTTTACCTTGAGGTTGAAGTCTCCTTTCTCCTTGGCCAGGTGGTCAAGTTGTTTCCCACGAGGTCTCCTTTTTCCTTGGCCATGTGGTCAAGTTGTTTCTCACGAAGTCTCCTTTCTCCTTGGCCAGGTGGTCAAGTTGTTTCTCACGAGTTCTCCTTTCTCCTTGGCCAGGTGGTCAAGTTGTTTCCCTCTGGGTCTCATTTCTCTTTGACCAGATGATCAAGTTGTTTCTCACGAGGTCTCCTTTCTCCTTGGCCTGGTGGTCAAGTTGTTTCTCATGAGGTCTCCTTTTTCCTTGGCGAGTTAGTCAAGTTGTTTCTCACGAGGTCTCCTTTCTCCTTGACCAGGTGATCAAGTTGTTTCTCATGGGGTCTCCTTGGCTAGGTGGTCAAGTTGTTTCCCTCTGGGTCTCATTTCTTTTTGACCAGATGATCAAGTTATTTCCCCCGGGGTCTCCTTTCTCACTGGCCAGGTGGTCAAGTTGTTTCTCTCAGGGTCTCTTTTCTCCTTGGCCACGTGGTCAAGCTGGTTGCCTGGCTGTTTAAATGGGGTTAGTTTTTTGTGTCGTTCATCGGCCTGCGAGTGTTTTGGAAATCCTTTGAGGGTCGCTGCTGAAGATACTGAGCGTTGCGCTTCATGTGACATTTTCAGTTAAACAAAATGGTAAGAATGAGTGCCTGCATCAGAAATGGTTGGCACTATCTGGGTCAGAAGACTAGCAACAAACATTACACACCAGTGATTATGATGATCATTATTATTGTTAGTGGTGGTTGTGGTGGTGATGGTGGTGGTGGTAGCAGTAGCAGCAGTAGTTAGGAGCAAATCGGAGGAGCGGTTAAAAATTCAGGGCCTTCATGCGAGAGACCCAGGTTCGAATCTTTGATAAAGTAAGCGGCTTTTTTACTGCCAAGAGAAAAAAAAAGAGGGGGGTGAGGTGGGGGGGGGGGGCGCTGCAAAAACATTATTCTGTACAGTCCGTGGCGACAAACCCCTCCCCTTTCCGCGCCCCCTTTCTTTCCCAGAAACAAGTTGTAAATACAGTAGTGACATAGTTTTTTTCTGGTGTGTGTGTGTGTGTGTGTGTGGTAGTTGTAGAAGTGGGAGGGGGGGGGGGAGCGAACAAAGGGAATTATTCTGACGGAAGATAATGGTGAAAACGATGATGATGATGATGACAAACACACAAATACGCAGAGTTATGTACTCACCCTGTAACTACCGGCACGGGATAAAGCGCCGGTGGGGGCGTGGGAGGTCGGTGGTAGCAGTAAAAATCCTCTTCTGTCTGCGTCCCGATGGACACCATGACTGGACCACGACTGGTAATCCTTTTACTATTTCCGCTTCCGGTGACACAAGGTGCGTCACCCAGGTGACTTTTGCTGGTCCGGCGGAGTACTTCTACTACGATTGGTTCCTTGGCGGATCTGAAGGCTTCCACTGCTTCATGGTGGCTGGACTGCGACAGGTCCTGGCCATTGACCTGGTGAAGAGAGGAGGAAGGTACCGGTGGGTTAATACGTCTGTGACACATCGACACAGGGAGGAATAGGGGACTTCATTACAGAGATAGTGAACACTGAACTTGAGAATGAGCTACAGTGAGAGAGAGAGAGAGAGAGAGAGAGAGAGAGAGAGAGAGAGAGAGAGATATCGACACAGGGAGGAATAGGGGACTTCATTACAGAGATAGTGGACATTGAACTTAAGAATGAGCTACAGTGAGAGAGAGAGAGAGAGAGAGAGAGAGAGAGAGAGAGAGAGAGAGAGATCGACACAGGGAGGAATAGGGGACTTCATTACAGAGATAGTGGACACTGAACTTGAGAATGAGCTACAGTGAGAGAGAGAGAGAGAGAGAGAGAGAGAGAGAGAGAGACACAGGGAGGAATAGGGGACTTCATTACAGAGATAGTGGACACTGAACTTGAGAATGAGCTACAGTGAGAGAGAGAGAGAGAGAGAGAGAGAGAGAGAGAGAGAGAGAGAGAGATCGACACAGGGAGGAATAGGGGACTTCATTACAGAGATAGTGGACACTGAACTTGAGAATGAGCTACAGTGAGAGAGAGAGGGAGAGAGAGAGAGAGAGAGAGAGAGATCGACACAGGGAGGAATAGGGGACTTCATTACAGAGATAGTGGACACTGAACTTGAGAATGAGCTACAGTGAGAGAGAGAGAGAGAGAGAGAGAGAGAGAGAGAGAGGAGAGAGAGAGAGAGAGAGAGATCGACACAGGGGAGGAATAGGGGACTTCATTACAGAGATAGTGGACACTGAACTTGAGTATGAGCTACAGTGAGAGAGAGAGAGAGAGAGAGAGAGAGAGAGAGAGAGAGAGATCGACACAGGGAGGAATAGGGGACTTCATTACAGAGATAGTGGACACTGAACTTGAGAATGAGCTACAGTGAGAGAGAGAGAGAGAGAGAGAGAGAGAGAGAGAGAGAGAGAGAGAGAGAGAGAGAGAGAGAGATCGACACAGGAAGGGAATAGGGGACTTCATTACAGAGATAGTGGACACTGAACTTGAGAATGAGATTACAGCTACAGAGAGAGAGAGAGACGGAGAGAGAGAGAGAGAGAGAGAGAGAGCGAGACGAGAGAGAGAGAGAGAGAGATCGACACAGGGAGGAAATAGGGGACTTCATTACAGAGATAGTGGACACTGAACTTGAGAATGAGTCTACAGAGAGAGAGAGAGAGAGAGAGAGCAGAGAGAGAGAGCGCCCGAGAGGAGAGACGAGGAGAGAGAGAGAGAGAGAGAGAGAAAGAGAGATAGAGAAGGAAAACACTAGATAATAAAATGCAGAGCTACGGAATTTAAAGACACATAAAGACCGAACGACCGACAGATCGAAGACAGACAGATAGAGAGACAGACAGAGAGACAGACAGACAGAGAGACAGACAGACAGACAGACAGACAGACAGACAGACAGACAGACAGACAGACAGACAGACAGACAGACAGACAGACAGACAGACAGACAGACAGACAGACAGACAGACACACAGACACACAGACAGACAGACAGACAGACAGACAGACAGACAGACAGATATAGACAGACATATAAATAGATATACGGACAGAGGGATGGAAACAGTGACAAAGGGAGGTAATTAAAGATATAGAAATGGGGAAAGGATTGGAGCGAGTAAAAAAATGCAAAGATTAAAAGAGAGAGTAAGAGATCAAAAGAAAGAATACAAGAAAGATGGAAAGAAAGAACACGAGAGATCGAAACAAAGAATACATGAGAGGTCGAAAGAATTGAAGGGAAAAAGGGATAGAGGGGAGAAAGACAGAAGAAACACTGATGGAGAGAATTGTTCAATTAAAGAGATAGACAGCCAACACGCAAGATGAAACAGCGGGCTCTAGATCAGCGACTAGCTCAACCCTGCACGACACAGACCTAACTTGCTCAACCCTGCCCGACACAGACCTAACTTGCTCAACCCTGCCCGACACAGACCTAACTTGCTCAACACAGACCTAACTTGCTCAACCCTGCCCGACACAGACCTAACTTGCTCAACACAGACCTAACTTGCTCAACCCTGCCCGACACAGACCTAACTTGCTCAACCCTGCCCGACACAGACCTAACTTGCTCAACCCTGCACGACACAGACCTAACTTGCTCAACCCTGCCCGACACAGACCTAACTTGCTCAACCCTGCCCGACACAGACCTAACTTGCTCAACCCTGCCCGACACAGACCTAACTTGCTCAACCCTGCACGACACAAACCTAACTTGCTCAACTCGCCCGACACAGACCTAACTTGCTCAACCCTGCACGACACAGACCTAACTTGCTCAACCCTGCCCGACACAGACCTAACTTGCTCAACCCTGCCCGACACAGACCTAACTTGCTCAACTCGCCCGACACAGACCTAACTTGCTCAACTGGCCCGACACAGACCTAACTTGCTCAACCCTGCCCGACACAGACCTAACTTGCTCAACCCTGCCCGACACAGACCTTACTTGCTCAACCCTGCCCGACACAGACCTAACTTGCTCAACCCTGCCCGACACTGACCCAACTTCGCCCAGATTCAGACATGCCGAGCGAGACATGCTCGGTCACTTATCAATATTTCATGTGGAACGAACGTTGCCTCGGACGTTCTGGCCACAGCCGAATCCCCCCGGGCCGACCCAGGAGACTGACTGATCGCACGTCACGACTGGGCATTAAGTTAGTGACAGCTGCACGCCACAGCTGATGCCGAATCCAGTGACCTGCAACCTGTCTCGACTTTATCTATTAATCAAGTAACAGAAAGTGTATTGATTGGCACTCATAGAAAGAAGTAGAAAGATAGAAGAACACACTATACAACATAAAAATTGAAAGCTACAGCTTGAAATCCACAACTATGGAATACGGACAGAATTCATTTCAACCCATTGAAATGGCACCATAGGTTACATAAATTTACACTAACGAAGCATATGTCGAATAACAATCACAGCAACAATTTACGAACACAGTAGACCTTACTGCTTTGTCTAGAATACACAAACATTTAAGAAAGGTATTTAATTGGTAGACTTTATCTAGCGGCTCTGTTGAGTCTATTCAACAATAAACGTAAAAGCAAAGTACCCCTTATCCTCGCCATCATATGTACTGGGTATACAGGGCCAGATCTAAATTTTATAGACCAATCGGCTCTTGATGGTCAGCATCATGCCGGCCGCCTTCGCTTCCCATGGCTTGGTACCCACTTAAAGCTGGGTGCACCTGGCAGCCGATGTCATTAAAAAAAAATTCCTTTGCATCTGGGTCATCACTCATTTTGAGGCGTATGGGCTTTACTATAACTAACAGTATAAATTCTCAAACAACCTTACTCATTCAAATGCAATCCATGTCTAGACTTCGCAAACTAATGTTATTTTTATTAGTCGGAACAACTGCCACTGCTATGTTATCCTCAGTACAGTTGTTGTACTATCCTCCCTCCTCCCCGTCACACACGGCCAAGCAGTGAGACAAAGAGGAATCTGAACCTGCTACCGGGCAACATCAACAAACGATCCGATCAAGTTTCTCAAAATCCTCGCAGACGATGAATTATTGATGCAATATCTCACACAGTCCTCATGGCGTCACAGTGTGTGTGTGTTCTCTCTCTCTCTCTCTCTCTCTCTCTCTCTCGATCTCTCTCTCTCTCTCTCTCTTCCACTCATTCTCATTATCTTTCTCTCTTCCACTCATTCTCATTATCTCTCATTTTCATTATCTTTCTCTTTCTCATTATCTATCTCTCTCTCTCTGTTTCTGTTTCTCTCTCTCTTTCTCTCTATCTCTCTCTCTCTGTTTCTCTCTCTCTCTATCTCTCTCTCTGTCTCTCTCTCTCTCTTTCTCTCTCTCTCTCTCTCTCTCTCGTATTCCGTCTGCTGTAGTAGTAGCTCTTCGATTAGACTGTCACACCCGAAAGTCGATGCTCTAACAATGACCATGAAATCAGTCCAACACATACCAGTCGGATCTCCGGTCTATCAGTGACCCGTATGTGTTACAACGTTCGTTAGCTAGTACTCTTACAATAAACTTTAAATTAAACTGTCCGTGTACTAAAATAATAATAATAATAATACAGTAAAGATCCCCATTCATGCCTTTAGGCGCATTCGGCAAATGGGAAGAGCTCTCATATTTTTACAGACCAATCGGCACTAGATGGGTAATGTGATCAGCATTACGCCAGCCGTCTTTACTTCCCCAGGACAGCCATCATGGTACAGATTTTAGGCTGGGTCGACCTGCGACGCCCCATTCCATGATAAAAATCCACACAGCCAGCAGTGGGTTTCGATTGCGGTACATTAGAATTACGAGTTGGACTCGCAACGCCTAAGCCACGGACGCCGTATTAATTAAAATAATAATATTTCCTTGATTGGGGTCCGGGATCCTTCGAAGTCGAAGTGCATCTGCCAGACGAACAACCAGAACTTTTCTTTGGGAGTTTACAGTCGAAGAATGCGTGAAGGAGGAGGAGGAAAAGCAGCAGCAGCAGAAGAAGAAGGAAGAAGGAAGAAAAAGAAGAAAAAGAAGAAAAAGAAGAAGAAGAAAAAAGAAGAAAAACAGAAGAAGGAAGGAGGAGGAGAAAGAAGAAGAAGAAGAAGAAGAAGAAGAAGAAGAAGAAGAAGAAGAAGAAGAAGAAGAAGAAGAAGAAGAAGAAGAAGAAGAAGAAGAAAGAAGAAGAAGAGAAGAAGAAGAAGAGAAGAAGAAGAAGAAGAAGAAGAAGAAGAAGAAGAAGAAGAAGAAGAAGAAGAAGAAGAAAAGAAGAAGAAGAAGAAGAAGAAGAAGAAGAAGAAGAAGAAGAAGAAGAAGAAGAAGAAGAAGAAGAAGAAGAAGAAAAAGAAGAAAAAGAAGATAATCAAGAAAGGCAAATCATAGCCGGTGATTCATATTAAAAACAGTCAGTTTGACAAGGCACAAATAAACTACAATGAATCAAATACCACAGGTAATACAATAGCGTTATAACACAGATAGAATTTAGTCAAACATATCCAACACAGGAAGCTATGAATCAGAATAATAAAACATGAAATTAAATCAGAAGATAGTTTTAAATAATAATAATCATCATCGAACGTATGAAGTTACGAACAGACTGAATGTAATTAAAAACTAAATATGATATGTAACAACAGTATGCAATTATACTAGGCCACAAAGTTTTAACACAGATAGTTTTCCTTTTCTCTGTCTTCTTCTTCTTCTTTGTCTTTTTCTTCTTCTTCTTCTTTTTTTTTTCTTTGTCTTTTTCTTCTTCTTCTTTATCCTCTTCTTCTTCTTCTTCTTCTTCTTCTTCTTCTTCTTGATGCATGGATGAATAACTGTATGCATGGAGGGAGATCGGAAGGGCAGAAGTTAAACGGGCCTGCGAACCCAATTCCTAAAATTGTTAAAAATGTTTGTTCTTCGTTCTTCTTCTGCGTTCGCTCTCAAAACGGCAGTCGGCACGTGTGCTTTGGTTTACAGGTAGGCTTTCGGTCCAACATCAGATTTCGGCCCAAACAAGCCGCCTTTACGACATGCTTGTCAAGGAGCAGTGAGTCGATTCTGTGCTGCGGACAAATGAATGGATACTAAGCATCAGCAGTTCAATGTTACAGGGACTCACGTGGATACATCGTCCTGAATGTGGGGGGTGTGGGGGGTGGGGGGTGTGGGGGGGCTACAAAGGCAACACAGCTGGACAAAGAAGTCATTCTGAACACGATTTATGAATAAAGGCTGTTCAAAGACACGAAGTTAGTTGAAACAACATGTCCACACAAAAAAAAAGTGGATCCCGCATAAAGAAAAGTATTAGAGGAAGGGAATGACCTGTCCTATGATATGGATTCGTAAATCAGTTTGGGTTTCGTTTCGTTTAGACTTTGGTATCCCTTAGCTTGAGGTAATCGTGTGTGTGTGTGATGTGTGTGTAAGTGTGTGAGCACGAATGTAAATATGTGTGCTGTGTGTTTTCCTGTGTGTGTTTATATGTAAGAGTGTGTGTGTGTCTGTATTTTTGTCTAAGTGAACGTGTGTGTCTTTGTGGGAGTGTCTCCATGCATGACTGTATTTATGACTGTATGTTTGTATGTGTGTATGCCTGTATTACGAATGTATGCCTGTATGTTTGTATCTATGTATGTTTGTTTGTATGTATGTATGCCTGTTTGCATGTTTGTTTGTATGTATTTACGTATATATGTATGTATGTAATGTTTGCATGCATGTATGTGTGTGTGAGTGGGTGATCGTGTGTATGTGGGTGTATGTATGCACGCGCGGGTTTTTTGCATGCACTCTACAACTCATGCTTTTGTGTTCTTTTATAATATTCATAATATGCATATTATCATATGATCATAACATGCTTTATTAGTAAAAATACAACTGCTGTGCGAAAGATGGTTGACTGGAAGGGCCGAATGTAAGACGGGCCTGTGTGCCCAATTTGTGACCCTTTGAAAATAAAGTTCGTTCGTTCGTTCGTTCGTTCGTTCGTTCGTAATCAAAGTTGCAAATCGGATACATTATTCTACCAGCGTCATTAACATACTATTAAAGTTACCAACGCCCAAAAAGCATCATTATCATCACCAATAGCGGAAGATACGATCACTGAAAAGGAAATCCCCCAAACCTTCAGGGTGACGCACACACAAAAAAAAGGTCACACAATATAAACAAACATAAACGCGCAGAGATTCAAGCCGATAACCCTACTATAATTACTGCCAGTTGGGGAGGTTGTGGGCGGTGTCGGTACTCACCGCAAAGTGTCTATTATCAACTAGACAAATGTGTCACTTACGTCAGATGAAAGCCCTAGTTACTGCTAAGAAAAAAATCTGTCAATAGTTGGTGTAAAGAAAAAATATAGACTTGCTACGGTCGGATCTTAGCGAATTCACAACACAAACAAGACAAGATACCTTACTTTAAAACCACCGCGCTGAACTGGGTAATGAAGTGAAAATCCTCTAACTGTGGGAATGATGGCAGAAAGCAGGGAGACGATTCGTACAACCAGGGATCGATGGCGGGACCAGACACAGTTAATCAATGATCATCACACACAATGAGGGCTAATAGCTAATGAAATGGGAGAAACCCGTTGTGAGGAATAGTGGGGAGTCCCCCTGGTCAGTATGTGGGAAAAATCGTGGGCGGGAGAGTTGTGGATTGCAGCAGGTGTGTGTGTAGGGTTGGACTACGAAGGAGTGTGCGTGTGCGTCTATGTCAGTCGTAGCTCATTACAGCGGTTCTAGATTCGTGGATCAAATGCCACAGAAACGAAAGATCTCATTCAATTTTTGTCGCATTCATTTATTCTTCTTTATCTTTCTTGCTTTCATTCTACTTCGGAAACACAAGTGATATCATAATGGCAAGTGGTGCATCATTCTTTTTTTTTTTTCATTTATTCTTTATAGGGTGATTACTACTTTCTGTTGCGGTCTACAGCTAGGCTGCCACATCTGCGCTTTTCGGCCCAACATCTGATTACAGCAAACCCCTAATTTGTCGTCTGTTACAGCATGGTTATTAGGGGACAGTCGAACCCCCCCCCCCCCCCCCCCCGTCCCCCGGTGGTCGTATGCCTATCCTGAACAGGGCTCCTGAATCCTCATAGGAACATAAAAGCGATGAGACATACAGACATCACCGAGACAGCAGTCAAACATCCCTATGACAGCAGTCAGACACACAAGACAACCTTATGACATCAGTCAGACATCCCTATGACAGCAGTCAAAAATCCTTATGACAGCAGTCAGACATCCATATGACAGCAGTCAGACATCCATATGACAGCAGTCAGACATCCATATGACAGTAGTCAGACATCCATATGACAGCAGTCAGACATCCTTATGACAGCAGTCAGGCAACCATATGACAGCAGTCAGACATCCCCATGACAGCAGTCAGACAACCTTATGACAGCAGTCAGACATGCCTATGACAGCAGTCTGACAACCTTATGACAGCAGTCAGACAACCTTATGACAGCAGTCAGACATCCATATGACAGCAGTCAGACATAAATTACAACCTTATGACAGCAGTCAGACATCCATACGACAGCAATCAGACATACAATACAACCTTATGACAGCAGTCAGACATATATATGACAGCAGTCAGACATCCAAAACAACCTTATGACAGCAATCAGACATCCCTGTGACAGCAGTCAGACATACAAGATAACCCTATGACAGCAGTCAGACATTTATATGACAGCAGTCATACACACAAGACAAACTTTTGACAGCAGTCAGACACACAAGACAACCTCATGACAACAATCAGACACAAGAAAACCTGACAACAGTCAGACACACAAGATATTCCTATGACAGCAGTCAGACATCCTTATGACAGCAGTCAGACATCCTTATGACAGCAGTCAGGCATTCCTGTGACAGCAGTCAGATATACAGAAAACCCTATGACAGGCAGTCAGACATAGAGACAACCTTATGACCGCAGTCAGACATACAAGACAACCTTTTGACTATGTCAGCAGTCAGACACACAGACCCCTAAAAACACAGACCTATAACAGACACGTCTATGACCACATACGTACAACAGACATCCCTATGACCATATACGTACAACAGACATCCCTATGACCATATACGTACAACAGACATCCCTAAGACCACAGACGTGCAACAGACATCCCTATGACCACAGGCGTGCAACAGAGACCCCTAAGACCACAGACGTGCAACAGACATCCCTATGACCACATACATACAACATACATCCCTATGACCACATACGTACAACACACATCATTATGACCACATACATATACCGGACATCACTATGATCATAGACATACAATAGACATCCTAGTAAACACAGACGTACAACAGACATCCTTATGGCTACAGACGTACAACAGACGTAACAGAACAATATCGTGACCACGTATGTGCAACAATCACTGAAC